ATCCATTTTCACCTTATGAACTGACAGGCAGAGTTTTTTCTTCTAGTTGTTGACGTCATTAAAAAAGGCACAGTTCCAGGCACATGGCAGATGCCTGACAAATGTCTGATTGATAAATGAATTGTAAGTTGAAAACTTGAAAATTCTAACCTTTAAAAAGTCCACTGTATGCATTGTTTACAAGGTTAAAAACTGAATACAAATTAAGTATCGATCAATAGGAGAATAGCTAAATTAGTCTGGTATATCCATGTGGTGTAATTATGTTTCTGCATAAATTAGGGTATAAAAAACATTAGTTTTGGCATCTACAGATGAGGTCATCAAGGCCTAAGACAAAGAGGATCCTAGACAATAAACACGTGAGTTTACTTAAGAAAACAAGTACACTTTTGTCCTGATGTGTCCAGATTGGCTGTGAGCTACCTTCAGATTTACAAAGGGAACTTAGGCAAAATGAACATTACTCTAAGAATCAAGGGCTGGCTTCTTCCATGCTGGCTCTGGCATGAAGTAGCTATTTGACCTTGGATGGGTCCCTGCCTAATTTCGTAAAATGAGAGGCTCGGTCTGGATAATCACTAAGGTTTGGCTGGTTCTAGCATCTGAGAACTCAACACTCCCTTTGCTGTTCACAGCCCTCGTCGTCAACCAGCATTTCCTAATGAGAGTGGTCCTTCCTTTTACAGCACTTAGCTTTCGGTGGTTTCAGCTACCTACAGTCAACAGCAATCCAAAACTACTAAGTGGAAAATTTCAGAAATAAACAACTCATAAGTTTTAAATCGCATGATTCTGAGTAGCAAGGTGAAATCTCGCGATGTCCCATTCAATCCCACCTGGGACGTGATCTCTTTGTCCAGGATACCCACCTGTTCCTCAGCATCCATTAGTCACTTAGCAGTCTCAATGAGCCGATCGGCTGTCTCCATATCACAGCGCTGTGCTCAAGGCACCCTTATTATCTTAGCAATGGCCCCAAAGCACAAGAGCAGTGCTGCTGGCAGATCGGACATGCCAAAGAGAAGGTGTGAGGTGCTTCCTTCAAGTGAAAAGCTGAGTACAGCATAATAAAATATTTTGAGAGAGAAACTACATTCATATAACTTTTATTACAGTATATTATAATTGTTCTATTCCATTATTAGTTACTGTTGTTTGTTTCTTACTATGACTAATGCATAAATTAAACTTTACCATAAGTATGTAGGTATAGGAAAAAACAGTGTACCTAGGGTTTGTTACTATCCTTGGCTTCAGACAACCACTGGGGGTCTTGGAATGTGTCTTCTGTGGATAAGGGTGGACTACTGTAATAATAATGGCTTATTTACATTGTTTAACTACATGAAATAATCATTGACACTATCTGCTGGTGGAAGAGGCCAACTAGGGCCTATAAATGGGGCAAAGAGGCATTACTCTGACCACCCTAATTCTTTATAACCCCAAATTTATGTTTGCAATCAGAGCATTAAATAAATGTCTGTGTAATTTAGACACCCAAATTCAGAAATCTTAGATTTTTTAGGTTCATACTATGCAGATAGTAATTCACCAACTAACTACTAATTCTTCCCAACAACATTACATGATAATTTTATTACCCCTAATGTAGTTACAGGTCGTAATAATACCTAACACTTACTACGTACATACGAAACTTCCCAGCACTTATTCTAAGCATTTCCATGTGTTAATTTATTTAATTCTATGACTATACTCATTTTACTGGTGAAGATACTGAGTGATAGAATAGGTTAAATAATTCGCTTAAAGCTACATAGCTAGTTAAGTAAGTGAGGCAGAATTTGAACCCAGGCCTGTGTGATTAAGTCCAAGTTCTTTACCACAATGTGATGCTGCCAATAATGTCATAAAGTTTCAGAATTTGAAGGAAACTTAATTGATTATCCTTCTCAAACCCCTAGTGCATCCGTGAATGATCTTCTCCATCTCTGACACCTAACAATCTAATCTTTGCTTGAATATCCAGCAGTAGAAATTTTACTGTCTAATTTACTTGTTATTTTGGGTAGTGAAACTCACTTCCCCAAGTCTTCTACTCACTCGTGCAATGTTTGGCTAATAATGGACCAGTGTCAGCAAAGGACTTTAGAAGAATCAGGGAAGGAAAAAGATGGCAACTCCACGGACAGCGTGTTTAATTGGTGTGTTCAGTATGCAAACAGACGCAACCCGTCTACCAGATTTATTTGTCCCTCATCTCAGGAAGATACTAATCCAGGAAGGTATCCAATGTGTAAGGATATCCGAAATCCTCAGGACCAGCAAGTAAATAGCCTGCTCCTGTGTCATGAACAAGTTCACAAACCCTGAAGGAATATCCAGGGACACGTGGAGCTTTTCTTGGTGGTGGGTGTCGGTAACAACTTGCCATAACTTCTTGAGGAGAATGGGTGGCTGCTGCCCCCCAAAACTCCCAAATTCACCAGTATGTAGTGAATAATTTTTTAAAGCCATGTGGTTGAATTTGAAAGTTAACTGAAACCTGCTGATGGGAGTATGAAGACTCTCTGGTAGCTCATAGTTATACGATCCGACTAAAACCCCGCATTTCATTTACCCCCTTGGCTTTAACTTTCATCAGAGCCATTACTGCACCCAAGACGGGGCTGAGAACAATGCACAGAGTGTGTGTAACCGTGCAACGGCCGTAACACACCTAACAACGCTGGGACTGGGAACTAAAATTAGTCTTTGTCCAGTTTGGATTTGAGGGTCTTTGAAGAGTTTTATCTAAGATAGAATAATTGCTAATATGTTAAAAGTAAATGGATTGCTTGGTGATTACAGAGATTCTGTTTGGGGATAATAAAACATACTTTTGGAAATCAGTGTGATTATATAATTGGTGTTGAATTACATGTGTAGTGGTTAAAAATGGTAAAATGACTAATTTTCTGTTGGATATAGATATAAAAATGTATATCTCTCCACAACTAAAAAAAATTAACAATGTAATCTAGCAAAAACATTGAATTGTACACTTGAAGGGATGAATCACATAGCATATGAATTATATTTCTTCATTTTCTACAGAGAGACCCACAGAAATCCACGACACCACAATAAACTTAGGGAATGAAATTGTAAAATATGACTGACTTTTTAATATTTTCCTGATCCCCAGACTGCTGGAAGATGTCTTAAACAGAAAATATCTGAATAACTTTTCTTAAATAATAAGCTATAAAACTACTTGAGTTCCAGGACAAAGGAGAGGAATCGCAGTTCTCAAAGAGAGGAGAAACCATGGCCACTTACATAACCGGCACTCTCCTTTTGAGGCTTCCACAAGACAACCCTGTGTTTTTTGGCCTTCAAGCCTTTGTCAGATGAGTGTCACTAGTCCCTAAATGGTGTTGCCCCCAAACAGGTCAATAACACCCCATGAACAATGTACACTTCAATGGTTAATCTGAAAATAAAGAGCTTATGAGCCAGACGAAGAGCTGAGGAGACTTCTTCAATAGTTCAAGATAAAAAAATAAAGAAATAGTCACATAGGAAAATGAAATGGAAAATTTAGCAAAAAGTCCTGAGCTGTTTGATTAGCCCAGTCACTCTCCACAGTATAGTGCCCCAGTATACGTAGATGTAGAAGCTGGTTAGAGACGCCTCACTGTTATTAAAAATAACATACTGATGTTTGAAAATCCTTTTCTTTTCTTCAAAATAGCTTTCTAACTATGAATTCTAAGTCTTAAAGGGCTCATCTGGGCCAAAACACTGCACGTGTTTCTACATTTCACCGCTGAGGACCAAAGAAAGTTTTGTGCAACAACCGTGCACTGCCCAGGGGGGACCCTTGGGAAATATCTTTCCGTTGTCGATCCTGCTGTGCAGCCTTTTGCTGCAATAAACAATAACTATGATTGCCCTCATAACTTTCGTCTACCACATTTTTTTATTTCTGTGTGCTCCATTTTGTTCTCTGATGGTCCCTCTTTTTTAAAAAACTCAGCATTCTGCTCTTGTTTAAGGGAGGTAGTATCTTCTCTTCTGTCTTGGAGAATTTCTAATCCTAATTTTGTAGGCATTGTTCCATATATTATTTTCCCCCTCTACTTGGTTTGGTCTCTCTTTTTACTTTTGGAGACTTTCCTTAACTATTTCATGATACTTCATTGCCCATTTATGGCTCTTGAGGGGGACCTAAAAGCTGATGGAAGCTATGTCTGCCTGGCCAAGGCTTGGTCAGGCCGTGGCGGCATGGTGGGCTTGACTGTTGGGCAAGCTGGTTTCCTTCCCAGGGGGTGTCCATATGTGTAAATCCCTCGCCTGAAAACAGTGTCTCCAGAGAAGAATCCTGACATTTTCTCCTTGTACATTCAGGGCTGCTGGATTTGGGTGACTAGATTAGGCAGTGGTTTTCAAAACTCAGTGCACATGGGGAGATATATATAAGGGTATGTGGCCCTGGGCCAGCAAGTGTTTGAGGTGGGCCTAACCCACAGGTGTCTGGACCCCAAACTCCCAGTTTCAACGGGCAGACCTCTCCTCCTTCCTCCAGGGCAGTTTGGCACACTCTTCCCCTTCTTGTGGCCCCTGAGGCCACCTGCTTTACACTCTCAGAAGGCTGTGTACCCCCACTCTAGGGCTGCCCCCTACTTTCACCCCCTCAGACAGGTTATGGAACAGGATTCAGTCTCCTTTGCTTCCCTACATTCTGCTCCCCAAAGTAAGCGTTATTTTTCATAAGTATAATGCTAATCAACTGTGGGAAGCAGAAGAATGGCAAATGTGAAACCAGGACAGAGGTTTCTGAACTCTTAACAAAGTTTGGTACATCGTCGCACCTCATTTTGGGTCCCTAATTCTACTGGCCCCACCCCTACCTCACCACCTTCTTCACCCCACGCATACTTTAGCAATAAATAAATAAGAATAATAAGAATGACTTCTTTCTTATTATACAAGCAATGTAATTTATAGTAGAAATATTACAGATAACATTCCCCATTCCCCACCGCATACCCACACTCAGATGGAAATGTACATCAGCCACAATCCCTCCACCCACTATTAGCATGTCCATGTATTCCTCTCCAAGCTTTCTTCTACTCAAGAATGATGACTAACCCACATATAGTATATGTATTTTCATAACTGGAATTACACTGTGCATATTTTTGTAACTGCCCCTTTTATTTAATATATAATTGGCATCTATTTAGGTAAATAAACATAATTAATTTATATGGATTTACCACAATTTATCCAACTACCGCCATACTGATGGGCATCGAAGTTGTTTCCAGTTGTGTGCTGTTATAAATATTGCCGGGGCTGGCGCACTTCCATAAAGGTCTGTGCATCTGTCTGGTGGTAATCTTAACCCTGCGGAGGGCACATCAAAAACATAACAGCATAGGTTGCATGTATCCAAGAGATACATTCATCACTAGTATGTGCTAAAATGCAGAAAAAAATTAAAAACACCTGAAATTTGCATTTATTATACTTATATAATAAAATACATGATTTTTCTTCATTTTAGTTATAATTCAGAAATTATTAAAGAAATATAAAAATGTAAAGAATAAAAAATTTTCCTTTCAAATAACAGAAACATGGGTATTGCTAAAAATGCAACCAAAAAGTGTCTTTTATATTAATTAATCAGAATCTTCAATAGTTGGCGTTGCAAAGCTTTGTAACAATCATCACAAACAATACCGCTGTGCTCAAGGCATAAACACTTCATAGCACTTGCAAAATATTTTGATACAATTTACTATCTAATATTACACACCCTTACAAAACACACACTATAACCAAACTGATGGCTTAAATGTCATGGTTTAACATTAGTCATGTACAAACACACAGCTAGTCATGACCTTGAACCTATGCACCCTATATATGTAACAATATTTAAGAAAAGAGTTTGTATCTCCCAGATCAGCTGTGACCTGCACAGAGTTAAACATGAAAATGTAGGGAAGTCTAAGACAAGGTTTGCTAATTTATCCCCCACTAACAGTGGCCTCCTTTGCTGTATCACTGTTAATACTGACCATGAGCATCCTCTTAAGTGTTTGATGACCCGATTGGCAAAAAATTACGTTTTATTTGTTTTTGCATTTCTTTGATATTGAGCATGATTCCATGTGTTTGTCACTTGTTCCTCTTTTGTGACTTACTTGTTCTTGCCCATTTTTCTATTAGGATTTTCAGCTTATTTGTAACAGTACTAAATATATTAACTTTCAGTCTGATGCATATATTGCTAATTTCCCCAGTTTGTCATTTGCCATCCTAAATGCTTCTAGGGCACTGGGCATTTAGAAGATATAGCCTTCCTAGTCATATCCGCCCGTCTTTCTCTTCATGGCTTCACTCCTGCCCAGGCCTACCAAAATATTTAAGCAATATTTCCTTCTGGTACTTTTATTCTTTTGTTTACATTTAAATCTTTAATCCATCTGAAGTTATTACAGTACATGCTGTGTGTATTCGTGTTCTCCAGAGAAATAGAACCAGTAGGAGATATGTATGTGTATGAGTGTGTGTGTGTGAGTGTGTGTGTGTGTGTGAGAGAGAGAGAGAGAGAGAGAGGCTCTGACTTAAGGAAGCAGCTCATGTGAGCGTGGGAGTTGGTAAGTCCAAAGTCTGCAGACCACGCTGGCACTTGCAAACCCCACCAAAAGTTGACCTTTTAGCTGTGTCCCTAGGCTGTCTACTGGCTGAATTCTCTCTTTCTCAGGGGCCCTCAGTCTTTTTTTCTCTTAAGGCTGCCATCTGATTGGATGAGGTTTACCCATGCTACAGAAGGTAATCTGCTTTCCTCCAAGTCTATTCATTTAAATATTAATCTCATCTAAAAAGAAACACCTTCACAGAGACATCTAGATTGGTGGTTGACCAACTCGGCTGAGCCAAGTTGACATATAAACTTAACAAGCAGAGTGTGAGTCGGAAATCTAATTTTGTCCTACTCTTTCTGAAAGTAGGATCTGTGAAGCCCCAATACCTCCATATTCTCTTCTGTTATTCTTAGGAGTCCAAAAACAGGTGTATAACACATTTTCTTTCTTTGAGCCCAGCCTTTCCATCTCTAGATCCTGTCTTTCAGGCTCCTAGACCTCAACACACAAAATGAGAAGAGCAGTGGGTGTGATCCATTGTCTTCTTGTCTCCACAATTGGGGAGCTTGAAAGGTAGCAGATAAAAGGCGTGTTTGATCTTGATATCTGGAGGGACCTTTGTCCATGACACTTCTCCTTTGGAAAGAGCCACAAACATGTTAAGTTTCTATATATCATTTCACTCTCACAAGCCCTCTAACCCTTATTTCTCAACTACAAAGCAGAATCCAAGCGCTCTAGAGTTTCTTAGCCAGCGCATTGTGAGGATACGGAGGCCAAGTGATGTTTGGCCTAAACATGTAACATTATTATTATGAATAAGTACTATCCATTTAAATACTTTGAAAACTTCAGATGAAAGCTTCACAAACAGGCCACATAATAAGGGTTATAAGCTTATAAGTGGTTCACTCTTGCTTTGTGATCAAAACAGAAACATCTTGATATACATACATTATTAATAAATTCAGATGCCCTTTCAAAGGTGATTAATCTGGTCTAAGTTTCCTTTCTTATGACTTTGCGATGCCATTAAAAACTCACATTCTGCTCTGTTTGCTCCAGAACCCCAGGCTTTCACCCCCCAATAAGGCAGAAGTTTGCATGTGACGCCAGACCTAGCTATGAGTGAGAGGGATCACCACTGGAGCATCACCCCTTGACTTTGGAGGGTCCCAAATGTCAACTCCCATTACATGGGGACCAGAATGGACTCTGAGACATGCCAGGCTGACTGTCTTCTGGTCAGGCGACTCAGTCAAACTGCAACAATGACTGCCTGATCTAGCTATCTAGAACTGAAGAATTGGCTCAGTCATAAATGCCTGCTGACTTGCATTTAGTGCCCCGTTCAAATTTTAATTTTTTCATTATACTACAGAGCACCTTTTTGAAAGGCCCAGAATAATTACACTCTTCCCAGAGCACCAGGAAGGTTAAATTATTCTTTGCACTCCCCTGATCTGGTTGCACTTAAATAAGGCGATACAGACTTTCTAAGTCAATTAGAAGAAAAGAGATGAGTGAAGCTCCAATTCTTTTTCAAAAGTGCAGACAACAGCTCCAAAAATGTGTCCTGCTGTCTAGGGGATACCGATAGAGCTCCTTAGGTGCTACAGGAGGGAGCGTTGGAAAATTGGCTTTTGGTGTGTACTTCCCAATGAATCAAGACACTAATAGCCTTGTGAGGCTCCATAAGTTTGTGGCAGTGTGGTTTGCTTGTGCCATGATAAGGGGTTCTGTTGCTGCTTCAGTGTATTTATAAGCCCTTATTAGGACAGCAGATGTCTGGAGGGGAAAGGAATGCTATATGGTATATTTTTAAAAAATCCTTTGGAAAGCTGGATCTAAGGAGCCAGGCTACACAGAGATGTAATTGTGATTCTCAGCAGGCTGAGACTCAGTAAACAGAGAGCCAGAATAATGGGTTTTATCTATGCCATGTATTCATTCATTCAGTCTTTATTCATTATCTTCTTTACTGACTGTCTCTGTTATGTACCAGGCTCTGAGTTAGAGGTAGTCCCTGTCCTCAATGAGCTGAAACTGCTTGTTTGGGGAGCAGTTGGTAGGGACAGAGAGCTGTGGGCAAGAAAGACAAATAAATAAGTTTTTCAGACAGTGTAATAATGACTAAAACAGTGGTGGGTACTACTACCAAAATTCGGATGCGGAAGAATTTATTAGCAATGGTGCCAGAAAAGGGTAGGAAGGAAAAGAAAGATTTTACAGAGGATAGGAAGATTCAGCTAAGTCTTGAGTATGAGAAGGAATGTGTCAGGCTGATGAAGTAGGCAGATGAAAAAAGGGCACTCAAGTCAGAGACAGGTAAAGGTACAAAATATGGTCATAAAACACCATGGTATATGCAGGGCACCACAGTTTGGTGTAGCTAAAGGTCAGGAGCACAGGGAAGAGGGCAGCAAAAATGAGACTAGAGAGGTAGCCAGGGGCCAGAACTATAAGGACCTTTGATACCATGGAATACTTACCCCTGAGGCAATGTGTGCAATAAGTGGTACCCTAGAACTTGGGGTCACTAGGTATAAACCATGGCTGTCTACGTCTATATCTTCTTCAAGGCCTATGGGCCAAGCAGATGCCAAAAGAGCCCAAACTATGACACATTCTTTGCTTGACCTGGTTAATACGCTATAAAATGTAGAGAGCACAGATCCAGGCCCAAATCCCTGTGGCAGCCACTGAGGATCTGCTTCCTTGTCACTGGGCACCCAGTGGATACAGTCACACAGTCATTGCACGGTATTGGTACCCAGCCCATCTTCCTACATCTTGCCTTCAATGATGTCTCAAGAGATATGCCTTACTGTCATCTGGATAGCTGTGCTCCCTCCATTTCTGCTCAGCCATTCTAATAGCCTTAATTAGAAAGGGGAAATGACATTACTTTAGCATGACCTGTATTACTAGAAGCTACTGGCTTAGTGGGACTGCTGCTTAATTTGTAAGCACTCATCAGCCACTGGTAGCATAATTTTTTATGGAATGTTGCCTACAGCCACTGCCAAACTCATGAATCCATAGTTGGTAGAGGTGGGGGAGAGGGAAAATTGTAGTGGTACTGAGATCTCACCAGCAAATCTCCATTGATAGCTTGCTTGTACTTAACAGTGATCTGTTTAGTCCAAGAGACATAGACTTTCTTAGGAGAGCCCTTACCCCATTTTGCCCCTCTCAGGGGCTTTAGTTCTTTTCATCAGTTAGTCTCAGTCTTTTTAGTAGGAATAGCTTTGTCCATGAGAGAAAAGAAACAGCAAAATTGGAATCACCTATTAGTCTGTCTGATTCTTGAACAGCTGATGTGTGTTCTTGGTGAGTATAAAAATTTTTTTAACTTTGAGCATTAACTCTCCTATTCCATACGTTTTGTTTCAATGTTTACTTTCCCCAACATCCAAGTTGCACAAAACAAGTGCTTCCAAAAAGATAACTGATGGTCTCTAAAATCAAACATTTGAACTCAGTCCGAGTCGCAGGAGGGATTTAGTGCTTCTGGAATTTTCTCGGAGGTAATATATCATGAGGATGTCTACAGGAGCAAGCATCTTGCAAATCAGCCTTGACAGGAAAGGGCCTTTGAACTCACTCTGCACAATTCCATTTCAACATCTCTTTCGTATTTCTCGAGTATAAAGACAGCTTTAGGGTTGAGAAGACAGATTATCTATATCAACCTCAGTCTCTTAATTAATAAAGTCAAGAATTCTGGTGAGATGACATCCAGTGTCCCTTTAAGCCACAGAAAAAGAAAGGAAAAAGAGAAGGAAACTAAAATTCATGGAAGGCCTATAGGCATCTAGGCCAACTTGGCATCGCGCTAGACTCTCCACATCTGTGACCTCATTTAATGTAGACAACAACCTTAGGAGCTGGCCCTGTTTGTACGGTAAACAAGCTAACATAGACATTATGTACCTAGCTCAAGGCAACACAACTATTGATCCCAAACAAGGTACAGAGTAAGAATTTAAATATTAATCTGTCTACATCACTGATTCTCAGCTGGGGTGACTTTGCCCCTGGAGTCCAAGTGGCAACACTGGGAGACACATCTTGTGACCACACCTAGGAAATACACAGACTGCCGCCCGCAACAGGGAAGTCTTGGCCCGAAATGTCAATGTGCTGAGGGTGAGAAATCCTAATCTAGATAGTAGATCCAACTGCTGTGCAAATTTTGGGTCAATGTTTTAAATTGAGGAAATATTAGTCATTGTAACACACAAAGTTTTCTATCTACAGACCTCTGGAGAAGAAGAACATGTTTCCAGAATGAACATGGCCATTGTCCAAGTTTAAGAATTTTGTACTGTATTACATAATATGTCCACATTTATGTAAAATAATACATAAATTCCAAAGGCTTTTCTCCCAAATCTTTGGTTAAAATCCTGGGAGGCATACCATGCTTACCCTGTGGGTTCATATATCCACTCACCACTCATATTCCAGAAATGTAGGAGTCCCACCTTGAAAGGCACTGCTCTAGGTGGTGAAAGGGAATAAATTGTCTTTTGGTAAAACTAGCCATCTCCTGAAGGCTTTTGACAGAACATAGTTATAGCTCTATAAAAGTGTTATAACAGAAAAAAACAGGTAAGTGACTGAACTAGGGGGAAAGATCTCGGCATTATCAACTTTAGCCCTTTCATTTTAGAGACAAGGAAGCCATGTACTCTGGTCTCCCCTCATCATGAACACATCTTTCACTCTGAGAGGTAAGGAAGCCAAACTCCAGAGAAGCTGAGAACACACAGCAGGTCCCAAGGCCACACAGCACTCAGCACTAATCGAAGGACTATTTCTTGAACAAAGAAACAAATCCGCCCAGACCAAAAGCCTACCCAACAAACCACTTCCACATGCCCCCTTCCTTGACACGTAACCCCAATTTCGTTCAGGTATTAAGCAGATGGCAAAGAGCTCAGGGAAGGTAGGACTCCCCCAGGTGATGAATCATGCAAGCTAGTCATGGTCATCTCATTCCCATTTGTCGGTGACTGGTGGGCGAGGACCCATAACAAAGCTATGGCCAGTGGCGGATGACAACTAGATTTTGGTGGTGAGCATACTATAATGTGTACAGATATTGAATTACAATGTTGCACACCTAAAACTCTATATAACATTATTAATCATGGTTACCTTCATAAAAATAAATCCTTTTTTAAAGAGAGTGAGGTTAGCCCTGGTTGGTAGCTCAGCTGATCAGAGCATGTTCCAATACACTGAGGCTGTGGTTTTGATCTCCCGGTAGCGCATGTACAAGAATCAATCAATGGATGTTAACTAAGAGGAACAACAAAATCGGTAGCTCTCTCTCTCTCTCTCCCTCTCTCTCTCCCTTCCTCTCCCTCTCTGAAATCAATAAACAAAAATTTTTAAATAAATAAATAAAAGTGACTGATTTCCTGCAGAGGAGGCCCATTTTTGCTCTCACACCCTACTTCCCACTTTGACAGCAGTTTTGGGAGGGACAGGACGCCTGCAGCGGTCTAAGGCAGCCATTTCATCAGCCTGAGGCCCCTAATCCAATTCGCAGTAGATGCAGAATAGGATACAAATCCTGGCTCTGCGATGGTGTGGAGCTACTTAAGTAGACTTGGAACTGTTTACCTCCTCCTGTCTTCTGGATACATGATGTAACAAATATCTGTAAAATGTAAGACATGCCTCATTGGGCTTTCTGTTGTTGCATCCCAAACCATTCTAACGAGCACAGACTGGTACCTGGTTCCTGGTACCCGCCACCTGGTGTTGGAATGATTTTGAGGATGTCTTCTTGCTCTATTTAATCTTTAAAATTTCAGTTTGGGAATTAACTCCTCTTCCCCTTGTGAGAGTTAATCATTCTCCACTCATCTGGGCATGCAATAGAGAACATCGAGTATGGGATGCAATTTGGACTGAGTGAACTCTAAGGCTGCACAAACAAGGAGCGTCTCTAACACCAAGACAGTTTAGGGTAGTTACTAAGAGTGTTAGATTTGAGAGCTCATTGTGCCCTTTTCCACTCACAGCCTCCGCACCTCGCTCCAGTCTGACAGGGCAAAAATGTCCAGCCCTTTGGAGACTGAGAGTCACAGAGTCACTTTCCAGAGGTATGCTGGAAAGGATGGTAACAGCTACACATGCTCTCAGACTGAGTTTCTAACCTTCATGAAAACAGAACTGGCTGCTTTCACAAAGGACCAGAAAAACCCTGGTATCCTTGACCGCGTGAGGAAGAAACTGGACATCAACTGTGATGGGAAGCTGGATTACCAAGAATCTCTTGATCTTATCGGTGGCCTGGCATTAGCTTGTCATGTATCCTTTAGCCATTGCCAGAAGTATATCTGAGGAGCCCTTGGTGCTGGCCCCAAGTCCCACCCCCTTTCTTTCCAGCTTCCCAGTTATCATGATCTCCTCACACACCACACGTACCCTGATGTGCTGATATACCCAGCATACTCACCGCCCCAGGCTGCTGGTAGCAATCAAACATACTTAAAAAATTTTTTTTAAAATTTAATTGTTGTTCGAGTACAGTTTTCTGTTTTTTACTCCCATCTCAGCCCACCCCTCCAAACATACTTTTTTAAATGCACACACACACATGAAGAGTGTTAGATTTGGAGTCTGACTGCCAAGATTCACACGGCAGCTGTGACACCGTGTCGTCTTGCGATCTTTCAGCTTCTGTTTCCTCACTGGTAAAACTGAGACGATTCGTACAAGAAGTAAATGAAGTATCTGTGTAAAGCACTTAGGAGAGCGCCTGACACCAAGTGAGGCTTCCTATACATTTGTAATAATGATTGTGCTGCCGTTATATACCCTTTACTTTGAGGTAGCCAGTTAGCCATTTAAAACAAAAGGAGGCTTCTGCCGTTTGCAGGGAGAAGTGGTACATTAGTCAGGGATCTTAGTGGCAAACAAAAACATTTGACCTACTTTAAGCAGAAGAGAGATTTAGTAAAGGCTATTAGGAAACTCACAGAATGCCTGGTAGGGCTAGAGGTTATGTCTTCAGAAAGAACCTCTAAATCATGCCTCAGCACTGCCCTGGAGAGATGTAACCACTGCACCACTGGGCAGAGGCACCCAGCTCACCTCATTCACCCAGGCAGGGCCCGCAGGTCATCTCTCACGTTGCTACAGAAACTGCATCTATTTGGACCGCCATCACCAAAGTGGATTTGGTGACACCCCTTCTTCGTGGCACCAGCCTCCAAAACAATTTCCAGTATCTTTGATTAGTGAAGTTGGATTACTGTGTCTGGATCCCAGCTGCGAAGATTGAGAAGACAAGTTTCTGGCTTTAACCTTGGATTAGCATGCACCTCAAAGGTGAAGAATTGTCCAAACTGGGTAAGTATGTAAATGAAGGATATCTAGACTTTTAAGGAATAAACTTAGTTTAATTACTATTCTGATGTTGCCAGGAAGAAGGGAGATGGGGATGCAATTTGGGCTCTACCCTTTACCCAGTTACCCAGACAAGGAAATTCCTTGCCACCTGTTCTCCTCTTGGCTCCCACACTGCCTTGCCAGTTTTATTTACTCTTGAATTCCCCCCTTTTGTGATATTTGTCTCCACCCCCTCTGCCCTGGTTTAGGCCTTTATCAGTTCTCACCTGGACTGATGAAAAACAACCACCTAACTGATCTCCCAACCTCAAGTCTGATCCCTCACATTGCTCCAAAAACATTTGTAAAAGATGCCTGATCATGTCCCTACTTACTGGAAGGGTTTAGTGATTCCTGTTGCTCACGGGACAGTATGCAGATGCTGCTGCCCATCTCGCCAGCTGCATCTCCTGCCATAGCTATATCCCCAGGAGTGTAGAGGGCACACGCCCTAGTCACAGAGAACTCAGCAGAACCCTTGTGATGCTTTTTGTTCTTGCTTTCCTTTTTTTCCCTTTGCCTGCAGTTCTGCTCTTGACCTATCTACCTATGAAACCCTCCTTTTCACTTATGGCCAGATTAACTGTCATCTGCTCTCTCTCTCTCTAGAGAATATGGACTCTTTTCTCTATGCATTTGTAGCGTTTTGCATCCATCTTTCAGTGTGTTTCTGGCTTGATTCCATGCATGGTCCTTCTCTACATCATGAGCATCTTAAGGGCATAGGTTCAATTTCAGGCACTCACTGAGCTTTTTACTGCCTGGCTGAATGGATGATGGTTGGAGTATATAACCAAACAGGTAACAACTTGGATTTGACCTGATCTCCCTTCAAAGAATATTCTAGGTTTTTGTGGGGTGGGTTTTTTTTTTTTTTTTTTTTGAGAGGGTGGATTTTAATTGTAACAAATAAACTTAATTAGCTAGGTTTGGTGTTACTTGAATCAAATGACCTGTCAGATGTAGATGATTGGCAGATCTATAGATAGATACAATGATACAATTCAGAGTGTTATAGTTGTAAGATAGAAGCTTTGAAATGTGACTCCTCAAACCACTCTTTTTGCAAGCACAAAATCCATAACCTTAACATTTTAGGAAAACTATTGTGTTGACCGACACTTTTAATACTTCCTGTGTTGGCAGCTGAACATGCATCCATTACCAGGAAGCAACCTACCTAGGAAGCTCCTAAAGTGCTTTTGAGTTCTGAGAGGAAAAACCCCTGGTATGCAGGGCTAGGACGATTGGAATTAAGATTGTGTTTGCCTCAATGCTCAGGACTCACAGGACTTCTGTCTGTTTTGTTCCCAGGTGGACCTCAAGCTCTTAGAATAGTGTCTGATTATAGTAGGTGCTCAATAAATATTCGTTGAATGAGTGAATGCATAAAGGCCTGTCATTCAAGACTGAGACTTTCTCCAACTATGTTGAATTTAACATAACTTTACATTTACTGAAATTCAGGGATAGACATTTCAGGATCAGGAAGAATGAAGAAGGGTTACTTTAGTAGTTCTTCTGATCAGGGAAGACCTCTCTAAGGAAGGTACATATGAGCAAGGACCTGAATGATGTGAGGGATGGGCCAAAGAATCTGGGGGTATCCAGCCCCTCACCTTCCCTGCAACCCCAACTGCTGGCCTAGAAGTTAAATTTTTAAGACACAAAGTGTATCTTATTCCCACTTCCACAGCGCCCCTTGGAGACTTACTTTAATTTTTAATATAATTCGTATATAGAAGGTTGAGGACCCTCCAACTAAGATGGCCCCCAAATCCCAACGCAATGCCCTGTGTCAGTTCCAAGGACTCCCGACACTCCAAGGGTCTCTCTCTCTCTGTCTGGGGTCTTATTTCCACACCTGTGACCTCCAGTTGGACCCAGGTGTCCAGCAAAGTCCTTTCCACAGTGCTGCCCCCCCCACAGGCACACACACACAAACCCACTCATACGATGACCATGACTATTCAGCAGCTTTACTGAAGACCGAGGGACTGGGGGAGAGGAGGTCAAAGCAGTTTTCCTCATTTAAAAACAAACACATCTGACATCAGATATGTGGTCTCTCTATTTTAAATGACTTTTGGGCAACCCACTGTAGGGGTCTCTCTATTGGCCTGTGGGTCTATATGAACCCGCAAGTCCCTTACACCATCTCCCCAGTGCCTCTCGATCTCCCCTCCCCCGCCGGCCTACCCACGACTTTCTCTTTTCCCCACTTCATCCCTCCTGCCTCTTCGCACTCAGGCACAAAAGGACACATTCTTCTCCTTGTCTCTTACACAGCAGTTTGGCATCTTGTACTGTTTGGGGCCCTGCCCTCTGGACTTCACATTCCACCCAGATCCTCAAGGCATTTCTGGAAAAGTGTCATCTGGAAGCAAGTTCACAGTACCAGCTGTCTGATACATCTTTTGTCTTTGTCACACCAGGTAATCACAGTGTCAGTCCCACTGTGGGGATAAGCACAGAGGAGCCCTGAGGAGGAGCACGCAAGCCAGGCTTGGAGGAGGTGCTGGGAGAACAGCTTGCAGAGGAAGTGACGGCTGAAGGAGGAATATGGGTGAGAGGGTGGAGGGTGGTGGCACATCCCAGGGGCCCGGCAGACTGAATTTGTAGAGCAGGACCTGCGTGTGTGGAGGTAAACCTGGACAGGTAAGCAGGGCCAACCCAACATGTTGAACGGCTCAGCTAAATTGTGTTCAGAAAGCAATGTGGAGCCTGTGAAGGATTTTAAAGGATAACCCAACTAGATTTGAAGTGCTTTTTGTTTCTAAAAATGGCTGCAAGGACCCTGTTGAAGATGGATAGAGGGGTGAGGCCCTGGAGGTAGAGTCCCCAAGTGCATGGACTAGGGAAGGGACTCACCGTGCCAGAGGCTGTCCATGAAGATGGAAAAGAGGGGACGATTAGAGAGCTCTGGAAGAGATGGACTGGACACAAGCTGATGACTCACTGGGCAGTGAGTCAAGAGGATACAAGGATCATGGTGAAGATTTGAGGACTGGGATCACAGCAGGTTCAAAGTTAGGCAGAGGTGGGTGTATGGTGTGGCCATCCTCTGGTGGGGCACAGAAACAACCACAGACAAGGGGGCAGCTGATGGGTCGATTCCCTCTCGTCCTCCTGTGCTGCCCAGGTGACTGATAGGCTCTCAGCCTACAAGGCATTTGCTCCTCCCCCATCCTGTCCGCTGCAGCAGGAACTGCCCCCCCACCCCCACCCTGAGCCCTGGGCCGGCTACAGCTGGGCATCTTTTGAGTATTTCTTTTGCTGGTTCCATGGAGGCTGGTGGCTTGTGATCTGCCACAGAAAGGGGAGGCTAGAGCAGATGGGCTTAGGGACAAGGGCACACAAGGCATGTGAGGACCTCTGAGCTGTTTGCTGGCTGTGACCTCCCCACCCCCAAGCAATTCAGTTACCATTTCTTTGTCTTAAATTCTTTATCTACAATGTTTTGATGGCAGGAGTACTTACACCAAGCATGTGCTTTAAGGATTTCACATAATACATGTGAAAGGGGAGTGAAGGGAACTAACATCTGTGGTGGTACGAACTGAGATTCTCCACCCGCCTCTAGCTCCTCCCAGGGAAGACCTGGGGTCACGGACGTGACTTTTGTGTAAGTTTCCATCCATCTTCATGGACTCGGAGTCCCTTTGTAGTGAAAATAGGCCCTGTGAGGAAGAGAATGTACCATCAGCATGATAATGTCAAGGCTAATGTTTCACAACATTTAGGGGGAAAGTCACTTCAATTAGAGGAATTTCATGTTGTGCTAGACTGTATGACCTTCCTAACAAAATACTTCTTATATGCGCATTTGCCTTAAGATTAATCAGGAGGAAAATGGGCTCACTTGTTACTGTCACCCAGAAACCAAACTGCAGTCCAATCCCCACCCTCTCCCTACCTGACCCAGAGGGAGCCCAGCACATTGCCCACCTGTGCTATTTCCTTCAGCATTAGCAGGAACCTGGGCAGAGGAAACCTGTGTTCACAGACAGCTGCAGCCTTCGGTCCAGAGTCTGAAAGACATGAGGGACAAACTACTGTGGCTCTGTCATGTGGGGAGGAATAGAGTGTCTGGAAGGAGAAGAGTGTGACTGTCACACAGGGGACATCTTAAAAAGGAGGCTGAGGAAGGGGGACAAGTGCAGGTTAGGGATACAAAGTTGGGGGAACTAGGGAGCACATAAGTGAGACCTCCTTCAAGTGCCCAAACAGTGAAACTTGTCCCCACCCTGTGGTGCAGTTCAAGGGATGACTTACTCAGAGTCCCAAATCTCTGCTATCCACCCTGATGCTCTCTGCAGGGGTTGATATGACCTTGAGTAGAGAACAGCTCAAACCTCCAGCAGAACTCAGTGTGTACTCTGTCTTAGGAAGCTGGGCCTCGCCTGTACCTAATCTCCTGGCAGAAGCTCTCCTGCTACCCTTGAGGGTTTCCAAGCACAGAGGATTAAGGAGTAGCTAATGTCAGTCCCAGTCAGAAGCTGGACCAGTGTCTTATTCCCCTACCTCCTTGTTCCCTGGTTCGGTGAAAGACACTTGCAGTGGGACAGACAAGGGGAGGACTCTCACCCACCCTTTCTACCAAGGACAGTTGGCACACTGAGGAAAGGTGTCCCCCTTTGGGGGTGAGGAAGTCTAGAGGAAGAGTTTGCATGAGAGCCATCTCTTTCAGACAGTATGACAGGGAGCAAGAAGTCAATACCATGTCCCTCTGAGTATGAAGGTCAAGGGCTTCCAGCCACACCCACGGTGTACCTGTTTGCTGAGCAGGAGAACGAGCTCTGGCATGCTTGCTCCTTTCCATATTGAGTTGGCATTGACTCTGGTTCCCTTTCCCCTAAAAGCCCCTCCCCAATCCAAAACACACACACACACACACACGGACAACCCCAAGTTCCAACCCAATCACTGGAAGTAGCCTTCACTCAGGAAAAGTGATTCCACCACACGCCACCCTGCCCTGGCCCTGAGCAGACTCAGGGAAGGGGACACCCTGAGCTGCTGCCCACAGGAGCTCACAGTGTGGTGAGGAAACAGTCTGAGAGGCGTGTGTCAGTGACCCGCTCTCAAAGAGGACCTCAGTTTGGGGGTTCTGAAACCCCTCCACAAAGACCCAACAGTTTTCCCCACTCCATCCTGGGAAGTGGGACCTGGGAAGGGGAAATATTCCCAGGTGGCAGAGGGGGAAAATGGGGAGTACTAGCTGGCAAGAGGGAGCAGGGAGAGGCTCCTTGATGCCCTGATTATTTCCACTCCTCTGGGGGCCTCAAGCCCTCCTCCCCCTGCCTAGCTGCTTGCACTGAAGGCTCAGCCACTGGAGACAGTGAGGGTGGCTGGAGGAGGCCCACAGGGTGACCGCTGGTAACCCAGCTGCATGTGATGGTGGCCTGCTGCCAGCTGGCTTCCTCCTGGCAGCAGCTTCCAGCAGGGTGGCAGCTCTGAAGTCAGACAAGCAGTGGCTCGTGGGCTGTCTCAAAGGGATGGGAAGTCCAGGGCCCATCCACCCAACTGTCTTCTAATACACACCTGGATAACAAGTGAGGGCCAAGCAGGACTTCCTAAGGGGCCCGTGGTGTCAGGGCAGCTGCTGGGTCTAAGCTAGAAAAAACAGAACGTGTGAAGCTTAGTCACTGCTGGCCGAGGCAGACGAAACAACAGTTCCCAAAGCAGTTTCCAATTCATCATGTCATTTCACCTGCCTACCAACACAGAGGAAGGTTCTGCCAACTGTGACCCTGGGCATGGCACTCAGCCTCTTCATGCCTCAGTTACAGGCTCGAAGGAAGGAGTGAAAGCACCTGTGTCACTTTCCACAGTCATGTGTCCTTGGCAATAAATTTAACTTCATTGTGCTTGGAGTTTTCTCATTTGTCGAATGGGCTTAAAAATAGAACCCACCTCATGGGATACTCAGGAAAATTAGATAAGTTAATCCAGTTAATAAGTTAAATAAGTTAAAACAATGGCTGGCCACATAAATAGTGCTCAGGAAATGCTAGTAACTATTATGAGTTCTTTGCTGTTATTAAATATAGCATTGCTATGAGGATTAATAAAGTAACAGCAGCTAGCATTTGTTGCATATTAACCATGCTCCCAGCACTGGGCTCAGTCATTTATAGGAAATACCACACAGATAATGTTGACTACAGCACCTACCCAGGAGAGAGCCCTCCGTGAAAGGCAGCCACTATCATAATTTACCCTCTGCCCCAGTCTACAGCAGAGGAAACTGCTCAGAGGTTGAATGACTTGTTCACGGCCACAAAGCTAATAAACAGAAGCGCTATTCACAACTCCAATCCAGGTCTTCTGGGAAATAGATCTCCATAATCCTATGATCCTCACCTCCTCCTCCTGCCAGGTCCTCGACATTTGCTCTGTAGCTAAAACTGGCTTCCCTTGAAAAAAGCTGCCAAAGGACACATCTGCTGCTCAGAGGGAAGGGGCTGGGCTGCTCTGCACACAGCTGCCATCAGCACCTGCACTGGGGAAGGGTGGAGCTTGCCTCCTGGTGGCCTTTTCCTTTCAGGAGCCCAGAGCCAGGGTCCAGCAAGCACAGGCATGTGCAAGGGAATGAGGTGGGTTTTGCACATTCCCAGCAAGCACACCTGACCCCAACTTGGGCTCTATCCTTTCACCCAAAGACCCTCTGCTGAGATTCTGGGGCAGCGCCCACCAAAAAAGAGCACTGAACCCCCCCTAAATTGAGCAAAACCAGTCCACAACCAGCAGCCGCCCACTGAGTGGTGACAGCTGTTTGCCTCCATGTTACATCTCAATGGCAACATTTCACTAAAGACAGGACTTCCCTGCTCTAAGTCACAGTTTCCTCATCGGCAAAACTGAAAGACTAAGACCCAACTTAGTACTGGGTTGCTCTAAGGACCGAATGAGAGAATGGGCGTACGAGCACGGAGCGTGGTGCCCAGTAATGCAAGCAGTAAATATTACCTGGGGGTGAACTGAATGATGACTTATGAGGGTACGCTTTGCCCCGTGAATATTTGGTGATTGAGAACAGGTATTCACTAGGCAACGAGTTCTGTATAGTTCATGTTTTTAAGTTGACATAATTATGTAAAATAAGTCATTCTTTCATTTTTGAACTTTGACAACACAAATGCTCAACAGTCAATGCTCACAGGACATGTGATTAATCAGAACCAACTAATAAAATTATTTTTAAGATTACAATAAAATGGAAGTGTGTCAAGAAAGGAGCCTTTACTATACCAAAGAACAAAGCAATTACAAGTATATTTTTGTTGTTGTACATCATGTTTATCAAGACTGAGAAAATAGCATGATCTTTCTCCTAAAAATAAGTCTCACTCTGGCGTAGCTCAGTGGATTGAGCATGGGCTATGAACCAAAGAGTCTCTAGTTCAATTCCCAGTCAGGGCACATGCCTGGGTTGTGGGCCAGGTTCCCAGTATAGGACGCCACACATTGATATTTCTCTCTTTCTCCTTCTCTTCCCTCTCTCTAAAAATTAATACATAAAATATTTTTTAAATAAATAAAAAATAAAAATAAGTCTCCATCCTTGTTAACACACAGCATGCACTTGCCAAATGCTCCCTGGACAACTGCGATCCAACAGCCAGAGCACGGAGGTGGCACAATGAAGGGAGCACGGACACCTTGGGGAGGGGAATGTGGGGATGTGAGACTTCAACCTCCACGGAAGAATGAAAGCAGGCCCCTGATGCGGGCAGCACTTTCCTAAGATTCTACACAACCCCATTTACCACAGCAGGTAGAGAAGCTATGGGGTGGAAGGCACACATGGCAGTCATGGGCGATGCAAACAGTGAAGTGACGAGGAAGCAATGAAGCTGCCTTTACCTTTGCCACCCAAGGATGCGTGGCATGCGCTGGTCCTTGTCAAGAGATGGGCCTGGGCTGTGGAGGGCCTGGCAGCAGCAGTACGCAGGGGCTGCCATGTATCCATTCACAAGAGCCCGTTGTTAAGCTTCCAGAACTTTTGTGAGCTGTTGCTAAACAGGGTTGTTTAACATTGTTAAAAATTATATAAACTGCCCTGGCTGGTATGGTTCTGTGGATTGAGCACCAGACTGTGAAGCAAAGAGTTGCTGGTTCAATTCCCAGTCAGGGCACATGCCTGGGTTACAGGCCAGGTCCCTGGTAAGGGGTGCATAGGAGGTGACAATACATTGATCTTTCTCTCCCTTTCTTTCTCCCTCCCTTCTCCTCTCTCTAAAAATAAAGAAATAAAATCTTTAAAAAATATTATAGAAACTTACAGTTAAGTAAAATATATTAAAAGCAATGATAATAACCCCAAATCATCACTTCCTAATTATTTTATATTTTACTACCATCTATGCTCCTGAGGTTATTAACATCAATGGCGTCTGTATAAAGGCCATTCTATATCAGAGTGTGCTACTTACTGCACAGCTCTCTTCCCAAATCTGTGTTTAGCGATATTACATTTTAACTTTAAGTCAGCTGTAGAGTATTTATATCACAGAAATGGGCAAACCTACAAACCGTGATCCCTGCCTTACCCAGAGAGCTGGTTGTTAGACATTTACCAGCACATCGCTGACAAAGAGCCTCTTCACTGCTTCCAAGGGAATGGGATTTTATGAGCTTTTGAGTCATGCTGTGTTTGCGTAGGTCGTGTTTTCTCTTTTAATTAAATCTCCACAACTTTGCATGAAAGTGCTTACAAGGCATTTCATGAGGCTAATAGCCCTAGGAGGACTGAAGGGGCCCCTTCCTGCCATGAGGGTGAGGGGCTTCAGCAAGTGTGCTGCCAGAACGAGTATTCAGGAAGACATCAAAAAACCAAAAAAGATAAACTTAGAGCCTTCTCTTGCCCTCCTTAGCCTTCAGAATATTCCTATAGGTGTTCCATTCGATGACAGTTATTCCCTAGTCACCAGCGTCAAGACATTAGGCCAGGGGAGAAGGAGGAGCAGACATAGTCCTTCCCTATTCTCAAGAAACTCACACTTCGGCCATCACAGTGAGGCCTAGATTGATCTTTGCATTTTATTTATTTTTTTGTGGAATTAGTTTATATATCTTTATTGTATGTTTTTACCATAGCTGTTTAGCCCGTTATACACCCTCCCCCATCACCACACTGTTGTCATGTCCATGAGTCCTCTTCCCTTTTTGCTCCCTCCCCCCACCCCCAACCCTCCCCCTCTTAACTGTTATCCTGCTCTATCTATAGCTCCCCCTCAGCACTGCTAATCTCCCTTAGTCTTTTCCCCTAACACTTGTCACCTTTGAACATACTACTATATAATTTACTTATTTTTTCATGATTGGATTCACTGCCTTTCCCCCACCCCTAGAGTATATACCCACAAGGGCAAGGACATTGGTGTGGTTTGCTCTAGTGCCTCACACATAGGAAGCTGACAAGAAATATAATTTTTAAAACATTTATACCTACTATACAAGGTCTGTCCGGGAAAAGTCCAGCCATTGTTAACATAATGAGAAGGGTTTGTGTGACATTGCTGTAACCTGGCAGCCACGGAGAGTGGACTGGAATGCACATGTGTGAACAATGGTGACTTCACTGTAGTAGTCAGTGGGGGTGGTAGACACCATTGAATGAACATGTGTCCTACGTGGCCTGTGCATTCAAAATGACTGAGTGAGTAGAGCAACAAATCTACATCAAATTCTGCATTAAGCTTGAACATTCCTCCACGGAAACTATTTGGATGATGCAGAAGGCCACAGCTACAGCAACTGGTGATTTGCGGTTTCATCACAATAACACGTCCACTCATGTATCACGTCTTGCACAGAGTTTTTTGTGAAACATGAATTCATGCAGGAACTCAGCCCACTACAGCCCAGATTTGGGGCCCTGCAATTTCTGGCTTTTCCCAAAACATAAATCACCTTTGAAAGGGAAGAGATTTCAGACCACCAATGAGATTCAGGAAATACAATGGGGCAGCTGATGGCAACTGGAGAACTGTGTGAGGTCCCAAGGTGCCTGCTTTGAAGGGGACTGAGGCATCATTGTCCTATGTACAATGTTTCTTGTATCTTCTTCAATAAATGTCTCTATTTTTTACATTTCATGGCTAGATACCTTCTGGACAGACCTCCTACTGGCAAACACACTGAGTCAAATTCTAATTTTTACCTCACCACTTAAACGATGTGACTCTGGGCAAGTTACTGTACCTCTCTGAGGTTCGGGTCCTCATATGCAAACTACAGGATATGTACAAGGCTACCTCTAAACTGGACTATGAAAAACTCAAAATTCAATGACTCTTTGTCAGTCAAGGCATGTCTGCCACATCCATAGCCAGTTCCAGAAGATGCTTTCTCTGTGAACTCTACCCCCTGGGAGCCATGCTCTAAATTCCACCATGCAAATCTGTGGTTTCCTTGAAGCCCTCAACTCCTTCCTCCTGCCACGTGGCCTTAGCATCTGACCTCAACGCAGATAGAGGCTTGTTATGTGCGGCCCAGAAAAAAGACCTTCCCAGACAGGGCAAATCCAATTCTACTTTTAAATTGTTTAATTGGGAAATATTGATAGAATCAGGCAATATACCTAAAGAAGCTTAACAGTCACAAGTCTG